ATGGATACGATATCACAAATGTCCTCTAACAACCATAGGAAGCTCACAGTGGAACCAACTCATCAGTGGTCAAAAAATGAAGAAGGATCTGGAACAAATAGCAACTGCACAGACAAAGAAAGATGCCTTTCTTTTCAAATAAATGGGAATCAGGAATCAAGGTATTGGGCCTCTATAGAGTTGGGGCTGATTCTCTATATAAATTCAGGGCCATATCCTTAACAGAAGGGTAGACCTGTGGATTAGACTGGTAAGACCGCTTTGATAAAAGGCCATGTACTGGGTAGCTGATAACAACAGAAACTTCTTGCCCAAAGTCCTACAAGTTGAACATCCAAGAAACTGATAGCAGCTTTGGGGTCTGTGAAGGGTCCGTTCCTTGGTTTATAGATGGCACCTTCTTGCTGTGTCCTCACATGGTGAAAAGGGCAAGAAATCTTTTTCCTTTAGAATAATCCCATTCATGAGGGGCCAAATCAATTCCCAAAGGCTCCAGCTCCTAAAGCTATCACATTGTTAATTGTTTGAGTTTTTTGGTACTGGGAATTGAACTCAGGGTACTCGATCACTGAGCCACATCCCCAGCCCTATTTTATTTGGAGACAGGGTCTCCCTGAGTTGCTCAGCGCCTTGCTATGGCTGAGGCTGACTTTGAACTCCCGAGCCACAGGGATCACAGGCATGCTCCATGTGCCTGGCTGCTAATTAGTTTTCAATGCACGAACTTGGAGGATGCAGACATTCAGAACACACCAGCAAGGAACTTACTGGACTGCTAGAAAAGCTTCAGAATAAGGAAACTTAAACTTGTCTTTGCCTGAGCTTTGACATAGATGGGGGGTGGGGAAAGAGAAGAAGAAATAGAGACCTCAATTCCTTGTGGTTAAAATTGACACTAGAAGATTTTTCATGGAAACCCCATACCTGGGCAGCTAAGTAGTCCAAGACTGCTACATCTCAGGGCATTAGTAGAAACAGCTTGAAATTTGAGCTAGAAAGACACCCCCAACTATGCTTCCAAGTATTTCCACAGATGAAACCCGAAATATGAAAAGACAACCAAATATATGAAACAGGACAAAAGAGTCCATCATGAGTGAGAATAAAGAACATACTGAAAAATGCAGAATTTGACTACAAAAGAGACCATGAAACTAGAATTATTAAACACAGTATTGTATTCCACCAAAGATATGCTGTCATTTATTAGAACATGTATCAATTTTAAAAGTTCTAAGAAAATAGTGGCAATTAAATTAAGATAATTTAAAACAACTTTTTTACAATTCAGTAAACTACATAATCCAGCTCAACTTCTGATATTTAAGAACTCTGCTGGGGAGGTGGGAATTTGTGAAGGCCCATGTCCTGCTGTGCACACTGCACACTGCCCCCTGCTCCTCTCTCCCCTTCCCTCCCTCTCGATGTCATGGGGAACACAGTGGCTGAAGTGCAACAGACATGACCAGGACACGCAGTTGGAGGATGGAGGACATCCTAGAGAGCCTCCTTGTAACTGCCTACCCCTACACTGCACTGTGAGGAAGCACACACTGGCTTTCTTAAAGCTGCCACTTCAGAGCCTTTTTTTTGGGGGGGGCAGTGGGTACTGGGGATTGAACTCAGGGACACCTGACCACTGAGCCACATCCTTAGTCCTATTTGTATTTCATTTAGGGAAAGGGTCTCACTGAGTTGCTTAGCACCTTGCTTTTACTGAGGCTGGCTTTGACATTCTTTTTGTTATCTAATACAGAAGAAAGAGAACTTGACTATGAAAAGAAATATGCTTGTCTGTAGAAAAGTCAAGTGAATCTATAGTCACATTTTTAGAAGAGATAAAAGTGTTCAGCAACTAAATAAATGTAACTCCAATACAAATTATGATGCAATTACCGATTCTAAAATTTATGACGAAAAGTGAGAAGCCAGGAATAGCCATGAAAATTCTGAAGAAGAAGGCTGGAGACTCATTCCCATTCCATACTTATTGTAAAGCCCAGGAACCAGGGCAGTGTGGCATCAGAGCAGCAATATGTAAACCAAGGGAAGACAGAAGAGGTCCAAGAAACACCCACATGTGTGAAAATCTTTGGAGAAAGGATGATAAATGATTCTAGGGAATTTACTATCAGGAAGACAAAAAAAAATGGATCCCTATCTCATATCATGCACAGAAATGAATTTCAGGTGAAACAAATTCCTAAAAACTAAACCTTAAAAACTAAATTGAAAGTACCTTCACAACCATGGAGAAATAGAGATGGCTTCAGACATAAATGTTACCAACATTAAGTATAAAGACTTAAAAATTTCTCTGCATTTAACTCTTATAACCTTTCTTCTCATAAAAACAAATAGAAATTTCTAGAAATCAATAGCCCAGATGAAAGAACGCAGCAATCCACATAAGTGGATTCACCATGGCTAACGACTACATAAAGCTGCTGACCCTCGCCAGCTGGGATCATAAGGAAAAACTAGTTAGAGTCTGATGGGCAGAAATGAGTCTGACAATACCAAGAACTGGTAAGGATGTGGGGCAGGGGAACCCTGGTGCTCTCGGGGGGTGAGTGTGTCCTGGCACACCCACTGGGCAGGGTAATGTGATGCATCTAGTAGAGGTAACAGTGCAGCATCTCAGAGGCAGCTCTTTTATTCCCAAGTGTTTACATCCCAAAGAAACTCCTGCACAAGACGCAAGTCAATGAACGTCCATAGCATACTACCACAAACTAAAACGCTGTAACTATAATCCGCTTTGATAACACTTGGAACATTTTTCTTCTGGGAGATGGGACATGGGTAGCTTTCATACTTTTTTTCTTTTAAGTTAGAATGTAATGTGAGATATTACAAATTGATAACAAATCAGATCATATTTGGAACTTCTGGCATCAGATTTTGAAGTGTGTGGATGGGGAGAGACCAAGCGATGTGGCCACCTGAGGAGGACTCTTGACCTGCTTCCCCAGGGCGACTTGTTACCAATGACCCAAGGAGTGAGGTAGCTCCTGACTAAGCACCTGCAGACTTTCCCCCCTCTCCAAGCCCAAGTGGTCCATGGCTGTGACAGATAGTCTTACATTGTTGACCTCAGGGCTCTTTTCCCAGATGGAGGGAGCTGAATGAATCGGAAGGAGCCCTCTGAACAAAATCCATCCACTCTTCTTCACATTTATCACATGATATCATTCACATTTATTTTTATTATCTTTAATGAGTTAAAAGAACCCTAAAATAAGAATTTTCCCATCGATAATTGATGGAACAAACTGTTTGCACTCTATTTCTTGCATTCTCCTTGAAGTTGCTTTTAATATATTTTCATAAACATGTAGATAAAAAATAATTATTTCAAGAGTCAAAGCAATCTGTAACTACACAAATAAATAACAATATATTGCATTTAGACAGGATTAAAAATTACCCCGTAGGAAGGTTAAGAGTCCTACCCTCATCTTGCCCAAGGCCCCCCTTCCAGAGAAAGCTGGTTTATAGAATTGGGATGTTTGAAAGAGCACAGAAGAGTCCCCCCTCCTCTTCTGGCCCTTTCCTGTCACTGTAGGCCAAGGAAGTTGGGCAGCTGCCCCCCTCGATCCTGTAGCACTAGCCCTGAAAGGTGCCCTCACCATTCCACGCAGGAGGAAGTTCCCCACTGTCAAGGTGGGGTCCTTGGAAATAATGGGAATTTTTAAAAGTAAAACTGTTGTTTTAGGCTGGAATACTTTTCAAAAAGCTTCTAATGGGAGCTCATGTCAGTTTCCTTGGAGAGCTTCAAAGCCTGTCACCTGTCTCTGAGCACAAGAGGAGACCTGCTGGAGCTGGCCTTTCAAATTCTGATAAGCTCTCAAGACATGTTTTCCAAAACATCTCCGGCCTTTTCTAATTGTTTAGGCAGTAACTGATAGAAAGGACTTTACAAAAATCTTTTTATCTTCCAAATATTTATTTCCTTGTAGAAATCTAAGAGTTTCCCATACTTAAAAAGAATGACATGGTTCCATACTTTACACGTACAACCTTAGAGATACTGGTAAATCAGGGGACGCCTGCTTTGTCTTTCAGTCAGATCTCTTTGATTAAATTACTGTTATTCTTAATGACTAGAATGGACTTGTTTCGCAATGCCTGGTGGTTTCCTTTGGAATCAGGATTTAGTTCATAAGCAGATCCCCCTCATTTTTTTTTGTTGGTTTAAAATCTGACAATTTTTATATAACTAAAAGCTAATACAGTGGGTAATTGTTGGACAACATCTTAAAATGTAATAAGGGCAGCTATCATAGATTGTGATATCTTAAAGGTTTGACTATGAAAAGAACTTGCTATTTTTGTTAGAGTGACTACTTCTAAAAAGCCAAGTTGGTTTCATGGGCATAAAACCATGAAGAAAGTTGGGCAAAAAGTCCTTAGAGATGACACCAAAAGAACAATCCATAAAGAAACTTGGACTTTATCACATTAAATTAACAAATTTTGTTAATTAAGCTTCAGAAATAAAAATATAGGCCAAGAACTCTTAGAAAATATTTGCAAGTCACTCATCTGATAAAGGACTCAATTCTAAAATACACGAAGGATTTACAACTCAGTGCAAAGGAGAATAACTTAATTAATAGCTGATCAAAAGACCTGGATAGGAGTTTCTCTAAGGAAAATACACAAAAGTCCCATAAGGACAAGGAAGGAAATTTAATGACATTAGTCATCAGGGAAATGCAAATCAAAACCCAGTAGGACACCACCTTCATAGCCACCAGGATGGTTATAATTAAACAAAGCAAAACTAAACAAAAAAAAAGATAATAACAATTGTGGATGAGGATGTAAAGAAGCTGGAAAATTTATATATTGCTGGTCACAAGGAAAATGGTGCAGACACTTTGCAAAATCATCAGGCAGCTCCTCTGTTAAACAGTGAGATACCTTATGACTCAGAGATTGTACTCCTGGACAGCAGAAAAGAAAACTTCCCTTTATGGAGGGGCTTTACTTACTGAGGTTCCACTTCAGGCCTGTGGTTGTCACATGATCGCATGGCTGTCCAACAGGAATGAGGCCGCACCAACTTCCTTCCATCCCAGTGTCCACGTGCAACCTGTGCTTTCCCTGCAGGAGAGGAGAGACAGCCATCAAGAAGGGAAGAGAAAGGAAAGAAGCTTAATGTGCACTGTAGATGTGGCTGCAGGCACCCCCACCCTCCCGTGGTTCGTCCTCTTCATATTAACAACACGTGTCGGGTGGAAGCTGACTGACCCTAGAAACTTTCACCTGGATTAATCCTAACAAGAATTTTTTCAAGAGAGCTTGTTACATACATGAGGACCCCGATGGGATCTGGAGGAATCAACTCTGAAAAGGAAGAGGAAGGGGTTTGCAGGCCAAGACCACTGGGGAGATGCCATCGTTGTGTCAGATGTCCACTTAAGGTGACTGAGGTGGCAATGAATGGGTAGAAGACAGGGCAGTGTTAGGCCAGTGAGACCATCTGTGTGAAACCCTAATGGTGAACACTGACATAATTCATTGGTCAAGAGCCACAGAAGTACCGTGCTGCAGAGTGAATATTAATGTCAACTATGGCTTTGGTTAATACTGACATATCAATCGGAGTCCATCCCTTGTAACAAATGAGCCATATTAAGCCAAGATAATGGGGGTGGGGAGGAAAACTGTGTCTCATCTGCTCAGTTTTCCGTAAACCTAAAAACTGAAGTCTACTAATTTAAAAAAATGTCTCACAATGACCATTTCTCACCCTTATACAGGACCAACATCAATGAGGTCTGGACCTACACGAGATACAGCACCACTCAAAAAGAACACGCAGCCACTTCTTGGCAGCTGGTACAACCTCTGCTGCCTTTTCCCTCTGGGGAACAGTTTTATTTCATGCCAGGCGTGAGTCCTTACTGTTTGCATGGAGGTCTCCTCTAAACTGATGTAGGCTGAACAGTTCACCACGTAAACTTGAGTTTTGTTTCTGCTTACCATCCTCCACCCTAGCAGTACTTCTCTCCGAAGATACAAATACTGAATGCTTTACAAGTGATCCTCCCTCGATGCCAACTGGAGCATGCATGAACCCATTCTCAGGAGTGACAAAGCCTCCTGACACTAAAATGTCGTAAGGATGTTTGGGGGAAGGTGGATTCTGGTCCAGTTTCCTGATCAAAGGCTCTCGTCCTTGGGCCCCATGATAGAGCACCATGTTACCAGAGCGGATCCAGGTAATGCAAGCTTCCTGGGCAGTGGGTGGCCAAATCACAGGGTTCCCTAGCTCTGGAAGGAGGAATGGAGAAGTATGCATGGGCCCAGATCTCTGTGCCTCTGCTGGTGACATCATTTCTGACAATGAGACCTGCTGTCTTCCTTACCAGAGAGGGATTCCTATCTTCCTGGTTTGTCTCAGCTTTGGTGTATTATAGTTCATTCCTGTTTGTTAACTTATGATTGTCTTCCCCCTGTTTTGGGTCTGCTTAATAGTGTGGTCATGGTTAGCTGAAACACGGGTATGTCTGGTATGTTTGACAAAGGAAAGAAGGAATTATTTTTCATCTGGTGGATATTAATTCCCTAAGAGAAAACTCTTCAGCTTACATCATATAATGCAAAGGAAACAACACATATACATGTTACGTTTTATTTTCCCAGGGAAAGGAATGGCTGTTATAAAATCGTTGATTTAAATGGTGCAGTAGTAAGCTTTCTTATGTAGCTTTGCTCTGTGATCACTGCTTTCTTTGTTATTTTAAGAATCAACGGACCTTAAAATTTTCAATTTTAAGGGAAAAAACTAGTTTGTGGACTTGAGAATTCACAGATAGGTCTTAGCCTATAATCAATTAACTTTTTTTTTCCTCTTGTTCCCAAGAGGTGCTTTGCCATCTGTGAATGGTCTTTATATTTATAAATAAGCAAATTTCCCTTTTGTGGTTAGAAGACAGCAGCATTATGTTTTCCTCTTCTATCCTTATGTCTACATGACATTTTTAAAAAGTGAATAACTGTATAAAGGAATTCTGTTTATTCCTTGGATTAACAGGTCTAGCCTGTATGTGCCTTGACATAGGCAGGCGTACGGCTGACATTACAGAACTTCCTCAGGATTTATGCCATCACTGAAGACCAGAGGCACATGAACTAATCATCGGCTTCCATCGACTCTCATGAATCATCGCACAGGTTCCTGTTCCATCCTCTGTCCTGAGCTAAGATAACTCTTTAAGTCAAAGGCAGGTCCAATGAGTAAAGAAGGAACAAAAATCAATCACAGCCACTTCGCTTTTCTAACTGTGATTATTTGAACATATCGAAAAACCTCCATAAGGTATGAAATTCTAATTTAGTAAAAGAAAACAAGACATGTTCATATGGCACAGGGTCTGGAGATTGTGCTTACGATCATGCTCCTATGTTCCAATTCCAAGCTAGAGCAACAATACATACAAGTGGGTACCTACGAAGGCTTAAGAAATCGCTGTCATTTTGTTTTGTGTTACACCTCCTCTTTGCAAACAACTATGACATAACTGAGAAAAAAGATTAAAGCTCACCTACATTTTGCCTTTGAATAATCCCAAACATAGAGGCATATGAATTGATTATATCTGAGTCTTTAAATCCAATAACTATGCTAACATTCATGCCAAGAGTTCTTAGCATGGATCTCACAAAATACATAGCAAATTGATAAAATCATTCCCCAAACACAGGGAGAACACAAGGGTACTTCCTACTTAGTGTAGAAGATTCAAGGAGTGGGTGACAATGATAGTTCATAAAGTAGACAGTCATTCATAGAACTGCTTCTAATACTCAACTTATACCCTATTATCTGGCTAATTGCGGCTAAAATTGCAGGAACACACAGTTGCACATGTGGAATGCTGCTGCAGAATTACTTAACACAAGGCTAACCTCAGGAAGTTCATCTCCTGTAAGTTCGCCCAGATGCTTTAAAAACATATCAACAAACACTGCAAGAAATTAAACAGCCTGCGGGACAAAGAGTGAAAGAAGAAGACGGAGGATCTGCATTCACTTTACCAGAAGAGGTTCCTTCTTGCATACCAAGACAGGCTTGTGCTGAAATGTTTTCACGCTGGGATTGCTCACAGGATGAAAAGCAGTCACAAGAGAAATGGTGGCCCCAATGAACTTGTAGTTATTAAACCTCAGAGCTACAAGATTTGTACATTTTCTTTGATTCTGCTCCATAAATGAAGAATTCAAAATAGAAGCCTGGTGGGTTTACCTGAAATACTAATACCTGAAATGTACTAATCAATGCTACATGTGTTTATATGTAGCATATACACATACATGCTAAGTAGATGCTTGTAAGGAGTGTGTGTGTGTGTGTGTGTGTGTGTGTGTGAGAAAGAGAGAGAGAGAGAGAAAGAGAGAGAATGATCTCAGTATTTTCTTTTGAAAATGCATTAATATCTTATCTTTAGATAGCTTTTTAGAGTTTCAGATCACGTTAGATCATTTTCCAAAGTGCTCTGCACAGAACACTACTGCCAAGGTCAGAGAAGATTGGAAAAACTGCTCCCTGGGTTGTCCTCTTGGAAGTCACAATGTCTGTCAGTGCATCTGTGCTCTAGGTAGTCTTGCAGAAAAAAACAAACAAACAAAAAACATTTTCCTGAACGAGTGTTTTGCAGCCTCCCTTGCTGTGGAGCTCCCTGCACCTCTCAAACAGGACCTCATACCTCCCCATAAGAACTGCTCTTCCCTCATGACACCACTTAGGGAAACACTGACTTGGAACAGTAGTAATTCTGCAAAATGATGTTTTGTTTAATATTTTCAGAGCCAGAACACTTCAATGATATGTCTTAAAATTAATGAATAACTTACCCTGGATTTTTATTTTGGAAATTGTTGAATATACTCATGCTGAAATCATGGATGCTCTGATACTAGTTTAGACGGGCTCCACTATTAGGCAATTAATGCTTAATTCTCATTCCAAAGAAAACCTTTTTTTACAGACAGTTAAGTTAAAGTGAAAAATATTTGTGAAATAAACTGCTATTGTTAGATATTAAAATTAGATGTTAAAATATTATTATGACAGGCTGAAATTTTGATTAACCTCCTGACATTGGACTACTTCAAAATAAATTTGATGCAACCATGTCCATCCTTTGCTCTGTATCACCTCTCTATTTATGCTTTCTTACAGTGTGCTCTGCCCTATCTTTCTGCTTTCCTTTATTCTAGACAGAGAAAATAATCTGCTGAGTGCTCTCACACTAAATTGTCAAAAACTTACACTTGACCCCTCCAAAAGATGCTGACATTTAAAATGATGACTTCTAAAGACAGTATTTGTTCCCAAAGTAAGCATTTTTAACAATGGGAACAAGACAAGATATATGTATTTTCAATCAGAGTGATCTCAAGCGTTTTGAAATCACTTCAGATGAATGCTCTTCTCCTCAGCATGGAATAGGATCAGGATGCCCACATCCTCCTATCTATTCCTACTCCACTGCTCCAGGCTTAATCTGGAGAAACCCCAAAGCCCAGGGCATGCCTTGCTTCTCCATGACCCTCCATGTTCCCAGCACAGCACAGGTGATGTACTCCTAACCACTACAATGTTTAATCATTTGTGCCACAAAATGGACCATTTTGCTACTGTGTTGCATCTCTTAGATGGGTTCATATTGTATCTATTATAATAAGATTTCTTTGACAGCAAGGAGCCTTTTGAAAATTCTTTTTGGTTATATATGACATGGAAACCATTTTGGTATATTTCTAAAAGAATAAAATACATTTTATTCTAATTAGGGTCCCAGTCTTATAGATGTATATGATGGTGAGATTCACTGTGGTGTGTTCATACATGAACATAGGAAAGTTATGTCAGGTTCATTCCACTGCCTTTCCTATTCCTATCCACCTCCCTTACCCGCATTCCTTCTTCCCCTTTGTTTAATCCACTGAACTTCTATTCTCCCTCATCCTTGTTGTGGGTTACCATCCACATATCAGAGAGCATATCTGACCCATGTTTTTGGGTGATTGGCTTATTTTACTTAGCATGATAGTCTCCAGATCCATCCATTTACCAGTTAAATTCATAAAGTCAT